TTGCGGATGCTATTGTTTGGTTGTTTTTTGTCGAATTTTTTTATATAAAACAATATATTTACACTAAGAAATATAGAGAAATAAATTGATTGCGAACTTGTCAACCTTCATATTCAATTTAAGACCTCTCACTTTCCTCGATATTATTCAAGATGTTTAGGTTGAAGATTTTAATGTTTAAACCTTGGCATCTTAGTGTTAAATACAAGTTTTTTATATATAAATAGAGTGCAAAGTGAGCCAAAAAAAAAATTCAGTTTATTCACTTGGGGGGTTTGTTATGCACATGTTAACAGATATCGGCAATACCAAAGCAATCTTATAAGTCATATAGAGAAAACTTGTTGAGTGCTGTCAATGCAACATGTCGAGATTTGCCTATCATATATTACATCAACATTTAGTAGGCATAAAAGAGACTCATGCCAAACATTCGGAGAGTTCTCGAAAAATCTTTACATGTATGTTTTCCGGATTTGGATGATCTTAGGACCGCCTTGGTCCCTATTTCCACTTGCCCCTAATTTAATAAAATACTATCATTTCGGCTTAAAAGGTATACCACTAAACGGTAATATAAGTGACATAAATTATTCTATTGTTAGTTAATTTGTTACGTTGTTAGGATAAAGTACATGAATCTCTCAAGGTTAATTGAACATTGCAAAAAGTTTAGATTATCACGACCCAGTCACTGGTGGCGTCCACAGAACAAATAAAATACAGAGTCGTGGGTTCGTGTCTTAATTAATTACTAATAATTTTAATTTTTATTACATTTTTTAGGATAACGATACAATTGGATGAAGCCGTCAATTTAATACACAAGTAAAGGACATTTGACCTAAACTTTCTACACGATTAAATCTAAACAATTAGTATAAAAAATTAGTACGTGATTAGGAAAAAGATTAATTACACTATTGGAGGATAATGTTTATTAATACATTGTGGAACTGCTTTTCACTCTAAAAAGAGGCTTAATCGTAGGTGTTTAGGTTAATTAAGATATCCTTTTAGGTTTTGATGACTTCGAGAGCAATACAATTTCCGCACACACTTTCTTTCAATGAATAATAATATTTTGCCTTACCTACTCAGCAACACCCACCAAATATTGTAACTTCGGTTAAATTAAGCCCTAGTGAAAATGTGAAACCAATCTACATCTATGATCTATCTACATTTTAATACAAGTGACAACATTAAATCTCATTATTTACAGGCTAAATGCGACAAGTTTAACGGCGGCACTGCTTCAAGACTCTTAGGCCATCTCCAACCGAGGGCTGGCCAGAGGGCTCCCTCCAAGATTCCTCAATATATTAATATTTTAATGAACAGTACAGGGCCATATTGCCTCCGTTTCCAACCGAGGGCCAGAGGGCCAAAGGGCTCGTTTTAGCCCTGTCACAAAAAACCGTCTCCAACCGAGGGCCAAAGGGCCATAGGGCCAAACATAATTTATTATTTAAAAACTACAATTTAATGTTGTATAAATGGCCTAGGAAGTTATACGAAAAAAATAGAATTGAAAAAAAATATGAAACAAATTTTGTGAAATAGAAGTTATAGGAAAAAAAATATGAAAAAAAATTTGATTCATATGAAAAGGAAAAAAAAACAGGGGAAAAAAGAAGTTTAAATTCATTAAAAAAAAAAGAAGTTTAAATTCATTAAAAAAAAAAAAAAAGAGAGGCCTAATAATCCAACGGCTACTAGCCGTTACATTAAAAAACATTTCAAACTATTAGTGTCGGTTATAACCGACACTAATAGTAGAACTATTTAAAAAAAATAAAAAAACTCTTTAATGCTGTCGGTTTTAACCGACAGCAATAGGAAACATTAAAAAAAAAATAGCCAGCCCCGGGGCTGGCTGGCTGGCCGAAAGCAGCCAGCCCTCCAGCCCTCTCCGATCCCGTGGGGCCCTCCCAGATTCCAGAGCCCTCTGGCCTAACCCTCGGTTGGAGATGGTTTTAGGGCTATTTTCGGCCCTCTGGACCCTTCGGTTGGAGATGGCCTTAGGATTTGGTTCATTGAGTTTCGGTGACATGAACTTTCAATTTTTGTACGGATTTTGTCTGTTTTGGTTTATTAGTTTTATTGTTGGAGTTTTTCTAATGAATTTACTATTGGGGTTTTTGAATTTTAATCCTTGAAGAATATTAAAATTTAATAAAAACCTGATGTTAGATTGAATATTGATTTTAGTATTTTAATGCGTACTTAATTCAAATTCATGTTATAAAACAAAAATAGATATCTTATTTAATGACATTACATTAAATTTTAAATTTATTCTTATACACATTCTAATTCATTAATTTTATTTAACTTCTTCTAATTCGTGTACCTAAACGTTTGTATAATGATATATTTTACTAAATTAGTGTACCGATATGTCCATACCAAAATATATTGTAGTGAATTAGTGGCACATAAGAAAATATGTAAAAACATAAGTGTACCAAAATTTTCGTACCTAAATATATGATATTAAACTTGTGTACTGAAATGTTGGTACCTAAATATATTATACTAAACTAGTGTATCGAAATGTCTGTACCTAAACATATTATCAGTAGTACAAAAACATGTTTGCGCGACGCAGCAAATTTCGTCGCGCAAAGTATGTTTGCGCGACGCTAAACACAAAACGTCACGCAAATAGTCTTTGCGCGACGAAGACTGGCGTCGCGCAAAACCGTTTTGAGCGACGAAGGTGCACTTACGTCATGCAAAGCAGTTTTGTGCAACACCAGTCTTCGTCGCGCAAAGACCGTTTGTGCAACGTTTAGTGTGTCTCGCAAGATTTTGGTACCAAACCAAGAATGCTTTACTGCTTTTTTCCCAACTTTGCGCGACGTAGGGTGCACCTACGTCGCGCAAAACTGTTTTGAAATTTTGGTATTCTTCCTTTTTTTATATATGATTGTATTGAAATTTTGGTTAATATTACCCATATCTTAGGTTTGTATATGATTGTATTCAAACACATATCTTAAGTTTGTATTGAATGTATTGGCTTTACCACATTGATCTCATATGCGTTTGTTTTTATTAATGATAATACAAAATGTTCATTAAACAATGCTTAGTGGAAATTTTACCAAAAAGCATATATTTCTTGCCTCAATTTCCATTGGTTTATTAATTATTGTTTATAATTTAATTACAATATTTATTAAAAATTAAATAAAAAATATTTTTGCCAAAAAAAAAAAAAAGGTTTGCGCGACGTAGGTTACTTCTTCGTCGTGCAAACCTTACTGTCACTACCTTGGAGCGTGACGAAGGTTTGTTTGGCTAATTTTTGCGCGACATTTTTTTGACTTTGCGCAACGAAGGACATGCGTCGCGCAAAGTGTTTTTTGTACTAGTGTATACTAATCTAGTGTACCGAAATGTCCGTACCTAAACATATTATACTAATGTAGTGTACTGAAATGTTTGTACATAAATATATTGTAATAAATTATTGGCGCATAAGAAAATATTGAAAAATATAAGTGTACCGAAAAATCTCTACAAAAATATTTTCTTATAGATACTTACCATAATGAGAATTAAAATTTATAATATCTTCATAAAATTTAATTTATGAACACCATAAAATTATAAATAAAAAGGAGAGAAATTGAATACAGATGCTGGCATTAAATAGAGTTTAGGGACTAAAATCAATTTTTAATCTTGTATAAGACATTTTTTTATAAACTTCATCTTATATATGAATTAAAATCTAGCTTTCTATTTACTATTTTGGATAAAATAAAAACCTTTGATCAATTCATTGATTTTATTTGTTCCACATTTTATTTTTCAAATTTTCTTTTGTCTTTACTAAAGCCGTTGCCTTAGGTGGTTGTCTATCCGTAGTCACACAGTGAGTCAGAAAAATGTGACAATTTTTTTTATACATATAAGTAATATTAATGAGGAGATAATCGTTCTTAAGATCTCAGGTGAAGAGGTAATGTTTTTAAACTTACAAGTCGTTTATGAACATGCAAAAAAAAGTGCGAAAAAGGTTTGAAAATAATAATAAGATAAATTAATTATTACGAATGCTAATTAAATTTATGTTCCAATTATATATTTTTCCTTATTTAGCTCGATTGGATAATGGGTTGAGTTGTGCGGCTCCACTCTCATTTTCAACAAGGTCCAAATCCCATAACGAAAATAAAATAACGATAAGATATGGAGGATTTTTGTGCTTTAAATGTTGTGTGATTTATTCATTTCGTAATAAATTGTAGATTGAAAGGTGTATAGATCCTTATCCACAACATTAAAACATGTGACCTTTCCTGTACAAAATGAAACGTCCCAATAAAATACCACGGAATGCCCAATGATCGAGATAAATAAGTCTCGTATTTGGCATGACACGTCCTAAGTTTGATTTTTAACATTGATAAATCACAAAATGAGAGTTAAAGGAGGCTAAAATACTTCTATAAATCTTCCCATATCCCTAAGAATGGATCGTCATGGCCAAACCACAATCTTATCTTATTTTTTTCAAAAGGAAAACGCTACCAAAAAAAGAAAAACGCCAATTAACTTCGTAGTAGCATAAAACTTGTGCAAAAACCAATATATCATTCGTAACGCACTTCTCACCAAACTTATTCAGTTTTTATTCAATTTAAGAAATGCTCTATTCGCAGGAAGTCCAACCGAATCTCTTCCCGCATATCAGGAGAAGAAAATCAAAACTAAAAAAAAATTGAAACAGTACTAACCGGTAACCGGGGGCATTATGGTCATTTAAGAGTGAATTCTCAACGCTACCCAAAATAAAAACCCAACCCAACCCAATAGTTAAAATAATCTAACCGCGGTAGAAAAAAAAAAAAAAAAAAAAAAAAAACCTCACATGGACCCCAAGCCCCTCTCTCTCTCTCTCTCTCTCCTCTCCATCATCTCTCTCTGTCTCTCTCTAAAAACTTTCTTACTTTGTTTATATATAACATTCCGATCTTTATCTCGTTCTTTATTGCAAGTTTGTAACACCCAGCGCAGCCTCTCTCTCTCTCTCGTCCCAACTTTGAAAACCATTTCGCCGTTCTCCGATATCCAACGGACCCCGGACTCGCACCGGAAGGGTGAGCTCTCGCCTTCCCTATCTGATCTCCCGCTCTCTCGTTACGAGTCGGCCTCTTGAATTTTCCTTGCGGTCTGTTCGGTTCCCGAGAATTTGTGTGAGAAAACCATGACAAGTACGAGTCTTGATCTCAGTTTCCTGAATTCACGCTCTTCACTCGTCTTCACACCACTACTCGCGGCCGTTTCCCGTTGCGCACGAGCTTTGTATTTCTCTAACAGTTTTATTTTCTCGGGAACCCAACAGACGGTATAAAGGCTTTAATCCGAAACGATTTTTTTTTTCTTCCGGCCGTTTGGTTTGTTGAAAGTTTGCATTTTTCTGTGTGATTATTACAGATTTCGGGAGGAAGTTGTTGATTGAAGCTTCGTACGGGACTCTTAATTTCACATGTAAATTTCATTCGATTCAGGTAATGCTCACTTTTTTAATTTTTTAATTTTTATATTTATTTTTTTTTTTAAATTTTTTTTTTACTGCCATCTTCTTTTATTTGTTACTGTAGCATATAGCTTTCGCAGCGTGCTGTATGTGTTATTTTTGGTTAATAAATTAGCATTTTCTGGCTTCGAAAACAAGAAAGTTTAGAATTTGAAGCATTGGTGTTTGTTTTGGTAGAAAAGCTAATTTTAGGAATTTAGAATAAAGGTGGGGTACTGCCGTTGCTGAATTCGAAGGCCGGGATTTTATCTGTAGATTTGTACTGATTTGTGAACTATGATTGATCATTGATCTTCTTTTCGGTCGCCAAAGTTGATAATATTGATAAAATTTTGGATGCGTATGGTTTACTTTTGTAATATGGAATAAATTGACTTGGTTGGATGTTGCTGCCACTCCGAAAAGGAACGAAGAAAGAAATTTCTTCTTGTATTCTCGTGTGTTTTGCTTATCGTTGGTCAATTTTCGGCATCAGATTCAAGTAGTACGTGGAGAAAGAATTCAGGGTAGGACAATGCTTTTTGTATGTCTGTATAACTCTCTTTGCTTTATTAAAAATGTCGTACCCAGTGCACACGGCTCCCGCTTTACGCAGGGTCTGGGAGAGGTGAATGTCGGCTAGCCTTACCCCCATTTATGGAGAGGCTGCTCCCAAGTCTCGAACCCGAGACCTACCGCTCATGGACGAAGGCACTTGCCATCGCACCAAGTGCGACCTCTTTGCTTTATTAGAAAGAAAAAAAAATCTTTGCGGTGTAAATTTCCTTTTTGCTATATCGGGATGCTAATGTGCCAGATGTTGCAACTTCCTCTCGCCTTATTTATACCGAAGAGGCATTTGTGCATTGGATGCTTGGTTACGTAGTTACGTTCTACCTGTTTGTGTCCGTACTATGTATTTTAAGATAAAGAAAGAATCGACACTGGTGTATACAAACATGGGTTTCAATTTTCATAGGATGAGATAGATATTCGGACATGGCAGTAAATTGACCATGCTTGTTAGTTGACTTCCATATTCAGTATGTTTTCTAGTGAATAAAATTTCTGTATTTCTTCTGTCGCAGCATAAAATGTGAAAATTAGTGAGCCTAAGCATGCTCTATGGATCATCATTATTTTGATTCTGTTAACCAGCAATAAAACTGGAGTATGACTAGTTTTAATTCTTTAATTGTTGTAGGCGTGAAAATGGATTTATTCGGTGGCAGCTGTTTAATGAGATGATCACTCTTTTCACTCTTTCATTTTTGTTTTGCGTAGGTTTGTAGACTTCTCTGACCGTAGTCCAAAATCTTTTCCTGTACTGTGTTGTTCTGTATGATTCAAGCGAAAAGGAATTCTAGCAGTCATGGCATCAAGATCTTCCACAAACCTTTTTGATTGGGCATATGGCGGCCTTTTGGATATTCCTTGTACTCCAAGGGCTCTTCCAAGGGTGATGACTGTTCCTGGTATTATATCAGATGTGGATAGTTATAGCAATGATGATGATTCATATTCTAGTTCATCCGCCTGTCGTGAGAGGAAAATTGTTGTGGCAAATATGTTACCATTACATGCTAAAAGGGATCCAGAAACGAAGAAATGGCGTTTCAGTTTGGATGAGGATTCAATTTTGTTACATTTAAAGGATGGGTTTTCATCTGAAAGTGAGGTTGTTTATGTGGGGTCTCTCAAGGCTGAAATAGATGCCAGCGAACAAGAAGAAGTTGCGCAGAAACTGCTGGAGGAATTCAATTGTGTGCCAACTTTTCTGCCCAGTGATCTCCAGAAGAAGTTTTATTTGGGGGTTCTGTAAGCAGCAATTGTGGCCCCTTTTTCATTACATGCTGCCCATGTGTCCAGACCATGGAGATCGCTTTGACCGCTCGCTGTGGCAGGCCTATGTATCTGCCAACAAAATATTTGCGGACAAGGTGATGGAAGTTATTAATCCCGAGGACGATTGTGTCTGGGTTCATGATTATCACTTAATGGTTCTCCCAACATTTTTGAGGAAGCGGTACTACCGAGTAAAGCTTGGGTTCTTCCTTCACAGCCCGTTTCCGTCATCAGAAATTTATCGAACTTTGCCTGTCCGAGATGAAATTTTGAGGGGTTTGCTAAATTGTGATCTAATTGGGTTTCATACATTTGATTATGCGCGTCACTTCCTCTCATGCTGCAGTAGAATGCTGGGGCTGGACTATGAATCAAAGCGAGGGCATATTGGGCTTGATTATTTTGGCCGCACAGTGTACATTAAAATTCTGCCTGTAGGTGTTCATATGGGTCGGCTTGAATTTGTGTTGAATCTTCCCGATACAACTGCCAAAATTAAAGAGATTCAAGAGCAGTACAAGGGGAAAAAACTGATTCTTGGCATTGATGACATGGATATATTTAAAGGAATCAGCTTAAAGTTTCTAGCTTTGGAACAACTCTTACAGCAGAATTCGGAGTTGCAGGGCAACATAGTACTTGTTCAAATTATAAATCCCGCAAGGGGATCAGGGAAAGATGTACAGGAAGCAAAGAGTGAGACATACTTGACTGCCAGAAGGATAAATGAGGCTTATGGTTCACCTAATTATGAGCCAGTGGTTCTGATTGATCGTCATGTTCCTCAATACGAGAAGACAGCGTATTATGCAGTAGCAGAATGTTGTATAGTGAATGCTGTGAGGGATGGAATGAACTTAGTTCCTTACAAGTATATTGTTTGCAGGCAGGGAACACCTCCCATGAATGAAGCTTTAGGCGTGACAGCAGATTCTCCTCAGACAAGCATGCTTGTTGTGTCTGAATTTATTGGTTGCTCACCTTCTTTAAGTGGAGCAATCAGGGTTAACCCTTGGGACATTGATGCTGTGGCTGATGCCTTGAACTCGGCAATCACCATGCCTAAATCAGAGAAACAGTTACGTCATGAGAAACACTATCGTTATGTTAGTTCTCATGATGTGGCTTATTGGGCGCGAAGCTTTGCACAGGATTTGGATAGAGCATGCCGAGATCATTATAGTAAACGATGCTGGGGCATTGGATTGGGCTTGAGATTTAGAGTGGTTTCCCTTTCGCCGAACTTTAGAAAGTTGTCTATAGACCATATTGTTTCGGCATACAAAAGAACAAGCAGAAGGGCCATATTTCTGGACTATGATGGGACTGTTATTCCCGAAGCTTCCATTATTAAGGCCCCTAGCCCAGAAGTCCTCGCTCTTATGAATTCCCTGTGTAAGGATCCGAAGAACACTGTTTTCATTGTTAGTGGGAGGGGACGGACTTCTTTGAGCGATTGGTTTGCCTCATGTGAGACGCTTGGAATTGCTGCTGAACATGGGTACTTCTTAAGGTATGTTTGTAATATATGTTTTGAATGTTCAGTTAGCCCCTTGATATATTTTTTTAAACTGAACTAAGGTATTTTGTTCTGTTCTTTGGTGTAGGTGGAATAGAAGTTCCGAGTGGGAAACCAGTCCTGTTGGTGCCGATCTGGATTGGAAAGAAATTGTGGAGCCTGTGATGAGATTGTATACAGAGGCAACGGACGGCTCCAACATAGAAAGTAAAGAGAGCGCTTTGGTATGGCATCACCAAGATGCAGACCCCGACTTTGGATCCTGTCAAGCCAAGGAATTGTTGGATCATCTGGAAAATGTTCTTTCGAACGAACCAGCAGTTGTTAAGAGGGGCCAGCATATTGTTGAAGTTAAGCCACAGGTAAAACTGCTTTCACAGAGTCCCTCTCCTCGCATGCGCGTGTACACCTTCACAAACACAATCCCAGTTGTGTAATTTGTTTCACTATTGCCTTTGTGACATGCAGGGAGTAAGCAAAGGATTGGTTGCTGAAAAAATTCTTTCGAGAATGGTCACCGATGGAAAGGCACCCGATTTTGTGATGTGCATTGGGGATGACAGATCTGATGAGGACATGTTCGAGAGCATATTAAGAACAGTTTCTTGTCCATCCTTGCCTTCTCCTCCCGAGATATTTGCCTGCACCGTCGGAAGAAAGCCAAGCAAGGCCAAGTACTACCTCGATGATGCCAGTGACGTTGTGAAACTACTTCAAGGCCTTGCTACTGCTTCGAGTCCAAAGCCAAGGCATCTCCCCCATGTCCAGGTTTCTTTCGAAAGCGTCTATTGATTTGAACAGTCACTGTATACTTGAAGTCCAGGAGGAAGTTTGGGATTCTCTTTAACCTCGGAAGTGGTTCGATGCGAATGTGAAGACGGTAACTTTTGAGTACATGTCGGGATCGTGGACTTACCATTCTTGTTTTGTACATGGGGACATCAATATGGTATTTATCGGTGCCCGGTAAAAAAGAGTAACCAGATGTTTACTGTTTTTTATCGTTCGCGGGCACCATTTAACTTGTATAGATACAATGTTCTTTGTCGCAATAGGTAATGTCTGGCTCGATCCATCCTAATTGTTAACTTCAGTTTCAGGTATATCAAAATGTCAACATTTTCGTATGGTGTGTGCATATTGGCGAACCGGTCGAATATGCGCTCAAGAATTTATGAATTTGTTCACCCAGTAGAGTGTACGTTCAAGAATTTACAAAGATTTAACGGGTCAATCAGAGCCACCTAAGATGCAATTTGTATATCAAATAGAGCACGCGTTGGACACAGTGTGCTTGTCACATGAAATGGATAAGTTAGGTTCTCAAACAGTGACAAACTCTAAAGACAGGAAGAGGACAATCCAGCCTGTAACTATCATGAAGGTATCTGCCAATATTCAAAGTTAATGGTGGAAAAGTTGGGGGTCCACGGTAACTTTAAGAGAAGCTTGGGGTTCGTTAGGGTAGTATGATTCGGAACTTTCTAGATCGACTTGAATTAGTAAGATCACGTGAGACATTAAGTCACGAGCTTATATTTTGTGAGAGCTGTCTGGCCTGCTTGCTAAGTTTTTCTCCGTGTTTAATGAAATATTTTTATTTTTGATATTTAGTTGGTATTATACTAGCGTTTGCCTACATACTTTATGTGTATAAACACATTTTATAAAAATGAGAAGGAGAGAGGGAGAGAGGGAGAGAGAGAGAGAGAACGTGGGGAGGGGGGGAGAGATGTTTTTGTTTTTGGTTTTTTTTTAATTTTAAATATTGAAAATATTTTAACATCGCCGATATGTGAAGTTTCAATAAAAAACAATAAAATTTGAACTTGTGAAATTACATTATTGTCCATCATTTTTTTTGTTGATAAAAGACTAAATAATCTTTTCACATTCTTTTGGTTGACAAAGAAAGTTTCATTAATTAATAGAGATATGGGAAACATGAAGACATATGCTGGAGACATGGATGGGGCCACTAAGAGACTAGAATGGCTCGAGATGTCTCTGACAATCCAACCCAACCTTCATTTTTTAAGAGTCGAACACAAGACCTCCTCAACAGTCTATCAGTCTTTTGTTTTCTCAAAGACACATCGAACTTCAAATTCAAATACATAGACAAATGGTACTAACCATTTAAACTATAAATCTTTAAATTTTTAACCCTACGTTTGGTGGGCTGCCTAGTCAACGACCTCCCAATAGTAGTAGGACTGTAGGATGCAAGCACAAGCCTGGGTAGGTGAAGATTGACATTTGCCAATCTAACATTGTTGGGCCAGGAAATGGGCCTCATGTTTCGTGACTGGGCCAAGGCCATAACTCACTTATCACTTCCTACGCTTTTTGTTTAAATTTTGGAATGTGCTATTCACAAACCTCATTTTACTTCTCACACACTCTTGATATTTTCTGTCCATTGATCTTCTACAATTTATCCGATCCGACGGCCGAAAATTAAAAAGGTGTGTGAGAAGTAAATTGAGGTATGTGGATATCACACCTCTAAATTTTATCTCTAATGTGAACAACTATAAATGTTTTCGGTGGGCTTTCTTTTAAGCAACATGTTGGGGTTGTGATGTCATTTCATTAGTATTTCTTGTGACTTCATTCAAATGACCGTCTCAATTCACCTATTTCAAATCAAGACCCAAATTTAAATTAGAAAAGTAATTACTCTTCTCAACAAATTCATTATCAGAAACTGACCAATTATAAAAGTTTAGATGGCAACCGACTAAAAATAAAATTCATGGGAGAAATTGGCTAATTATAAAAGTTCAAGAAGAAATCGGTTAAAATGGAAGTTCATGAGAAATTAGCAGCTCCTTACAAGTTCGTGAGAGGAAATATTCTACTATTATTTATTGCATTTGAGTTTGATAAGTTTTAGTTTTTTATCTTAAAGTTGGACGCTTGCGAATTTGTACCACGAAAATTTCACTGCTCTAAAATAAAGTTAGTGATTCATGTTAGGTTTTTTCAGCCAAAATAATTTATGATATTGGTATAACCTTTTATTTTGATTCATGAGATTTAAAATTGATACAAGTGCTTTATGAGTTTGTATACCGTCAATCATTTTAGTCATTTTATGAACAATCTTTGTTAAATAAGACCAAAATAATTAGAATATCCTCAAATTTTGTCAAATCATTTTTGCCCATTTTTTGTCAAATTGAGGTATTTGTGTTATTTTGATCCTTATTTAACAAAGATTTTTTATGGAATGACTAAAATAATTGATGGTAGACAAACTAAAGGATTATTTTATCAATTTTAAATCTCAAAAACCAAAGTCACTCAGTCCTACAGTCCAGTGATATTCTTCTTTACTTAGAAATGAGATGTCTTAGGTTCGAATCTCGTAGATAGCGAATTCGATATCAACTTAGGTTATCCATTATGTGGATTAACCGAACTCCCTCTCTTTAATGTAAAATATCAACGTACTAAAAAAAATCTCATAAACTACATTAAGAAGTTATCTCAATCTCATGAATCATTTCACTAAAATGCCTTCGTGGTAGATTATGACACTTTTACGTTATGGGTAGTTGCTTCCTCCTCAAGCTGTCTCTTTCACTTTAGTAGGTTGCAATTTGCATCGGAATTGCAACCCGTCAAAATGGTAGCTCTAGTACGGACAAACTGTTGAAACAAAGTTGACAAAAATGAGCTGGATTCTACAATAAAATACCGTTGTATTGGACAAGAGGGCAGCTGATTTATTGGGGACAATAATACGGATAAGGATTATCTTTGGGTTCTTTTACGAGGATTTTAAAGATTCTTATATTCTAGTAGTTTACCGTATATTATGCGTTCAATTTTCATTAGATACTATTTGTGTTTAATTTTAAATAAAAAATTCAAAACGATTTCTGACCGTATAATATACGATAAACAATTAGGATGAGATCCTCACAATTTAGATTTGAATGAGATCCAAATCCCAATAATTCTAGCCACACATCACTTTTAAGTAATAATATTAAATTATAATTAGAGAAAAAATTGTCTATAAGTTTTAATTCAATTGGAGCAATGACTCCTCAATTAAAAATCCATGACTATTAGTCTTTTAAATAATCAAAACGTGTAGCCACTGTTCTTTTCGTCAACTCCGTCAGAATTTCATCAAAATGACTCATGTTGGAATAACCATTGTTACAAATAGATTAAAGTTAAGAGACAATTGCTTCAGTTGGGTTAAATTTTGAGGAACCGTTGCTACAATTTTTTTCATTTGGTTTTTCATATATGTCCCTTGATTCAGCCTTATGTGTGTGCCACGTGACTTATTTTGACGAAAATTTTAACGGATTTGACGAAAATGATCATAGTTGCATGTTTTGATAAGTTAAGGAACACTAGTCATATAATTTAAGGTGAGAGACAATTGCTCTAATTAAGTTAAAATTGAGAGATCATTGTTTCAATTGAGTTAAAATTAAAGGATCATTGATACATTTTTATCTATAATTACAACCATAAACAAACATTAATAATAACAAATAAAAAGAACAAACAACGACAATAGCATGTTGAAACTTAGATCGGATTAATAAAAAAATTATTCCAAAAAGGGAACGTGCTGAGAATTTGGGTGGAGAATAACTGTTGCATGCTTGGTTGGATTCATAAAAAGAAAAAGAAAAATATTTACACTTTACGTGAATTATGAATATTAAAGTAATTGTATTTCAAATTAATTAAACGCTTGTATGCGTAATATGTTTTTTTTTTTTTTTTTTTTTTGAGAAAATATGCGTAATATGTTGAGGACACCTCTTGATACTTCCATTTCATGCGAGTTATCACGATAATATCTCTCTAGCTAATACCGTTATATAAATTAGAGTAATTTAAAATATATTACGAAAAGATAAACTAGTAAATAAAATTTCATGACCCAATCACTCTTAACAGAGAATACGATTCTTTCACACTCTCGTCATTCACTCTCGAGTCCCCACTGAGGCATTTGAGCTCTCTGCTTTTTCATCTCTTTCTCTTCCCCCCCTTTGCCTTTTCCTCTCCTTTTTCATCCTTTGTCTCTTTCATCTTTTCACACACAGTCGCTTTTGCACTCGGGAGGAGCACACTGTGTTTTTCTCCAAACCCAGAAATTATTTGAGGAAAAAAGCATCTCTCGCTTCTTACCACCCACATTTTGCAAAAACCCATATAGGATTTAGGGGTTCTCTCAATGCTGGCAGCTTGAATGTTTCAGCCTTTTTGTGTTGTGGCCTCCATTGGAAGAAAAGGAGTAATGGGTCGGAGTTTATGGGCGGCGGCTCTCATCGTTCTGGTTATGTTTGGCGGCGTCTCCTCAGCTGCCACTACTGCCCCAGCAAGTGAGAGACTCTTGAATTTATGTATAATTGTTTATATATATGTATATATGTGACTGAGCTCAGCTTCTGCATGATCTGATTTTGGTTGTGGAATTTTGGTTTGTTTTTATTAAAAAATAGCTTTTTTTGTTGGCTTTTTTCAGAGATTGTTGGTGGGTTTTTCTCAAATGCTGCGTCTGCATTCATGAAATGGCTGTGGTCGCTCAAAGCAACTACCAAAACAGGTCTAGATCTCTGAATCCACCCACATTTTATTGTTATTTTCTTCTGAATTTTTGAGGGTTTGTTGTGTTGTAATCTGGAATGTTGGGGATTTATGAAATTTCTGTGTGCAGCGGTTTCGGGCCGTCCGGTGATGAAGTTTGAGAGTGGGTTCAATGTGGAGACGGTGTTTGATGGAAGCAAGCTTGGTATTGAGCCTTACTCTGTGGAGGTTTTGCCAAGTGGGGAGCTTCTGATTTTGGATTCTGCTAATAGCAACCTCTATAGGATCTCTTCCTCTCTCTCTCTGTGTAAGTTGCTTTTGTTTTGTGCAATGCCTTGGTAAGTTGCTTTTTTGGTTTTAATTGAACTTGCAATCTTTGAAGTATGATTTGCGCAGTGTGCTGCTTGGCCAAGTTACTGAGGGACTCACATTTTCTTGAGTTTTGTATACTTTAGTCGATCTTTCAAGCCAGATGTCTTGATTAGCAAGTTTTTGCTTGTAGTTCGAATGCGGTTTTCTTTTTTATGTTTGGATTTTTCTTCAAAATTCATGGTTGTGCTTCCAGGTGCAATACTATTTGTGCAATGAATCTCGTATTCCCTAAACTGGAAATTGCCTTGATCTTCATTAGAAGCATGCTATATTGTGTTGATGTCTTCAGTCTACTCTGTGATACAAACGCTACTAGAAAATCAACTCTTGTATTCTTGTTTTGGATACATTGAACTTCTTAGAGCTTGCATATCTCCAATATTTTTAATCTAGTTTTATCGGACACTGCAGACAGCAGACCAAAGCTGGTTGCAGGATCTTCTGATGGATACCCGGGTCATGTAGATGGGAGGACCAGAGAGGCAAGAATGAATCACCCAAAGGGGTTTACAGTTGATGACAGTGGAAATATTTATGTTGCAGACACAATGAATATGGCAATCAGGAAGATAAGCGATGCTGGTAATTGCTTTATTAGATTTCTTTGAAGAATTGGTTTATTTATTGATGTTCAGCATTATCAATGAAGCAAATTTGCTTCTTCTTTCTTCATTGTTTCACTTTGACACGTACTAGTGTGTAGCATATCCCACTGTATATTTGTATGTGTGTATGTATGAATATACACGTTTACACTTGTTCTCTCAAGAATAATTACAACAGTTTGTTATTTAGTACCCGCCACCATCAACATTATAAGACTTTTTCCAATTAAGTTGGTAGGAAGACGTTTAATTTTGATGTCATTGAAATTTGTACTGTTAGGGGTTACAACAATAGCAGGAGGGAAATTGGGCCGTGGGGGAAGCCATGTGGATGGACCAAGTGAAGATGCAAAGTTTTCGGACGATTTTGATGTGGTTTATATTGGAAGCAGCTGCTCTTTACTTGTTATAGACAGAGGAAATCAAGCAATCAGGGAGATCCAACTACATTTCGATGACTGTGCTTATCAATATGGAAGTGGTTTCCCTCTTGGTAACTTATTTTACCCCAATGTTTTCTCTTGAATGGTGTAAATATTTAGAAATACATAGATACTGATTTTCATCATTGCAGGGATTGCAATGCTTGTTGGGGCTGGCTTCTTTGGTTATATGTTAGCATTGCTACAACGTAGAGTTGGTACAATTGTCTCTTCACAAAATGTGAGTACTCAGTTTTTTTCTTCTGCCTACTTTATTGACATCTGTTTGTGGGGTAGATGTTGGCTTCTGTGAGGTTTGCGCCCGTTGTTATCGCAGGAACTATTTGAAATTGCTTTTGCCTTTTGTTTGGTTTGTGAATAGGAAGAGTGGATCCCGTAAATGTACGCTGACTTCAGATTTTGTAATTGTGAAGTAGTATTGATACCTGAGAGAAAACTCTTTATGAAAAAGTACCTTGATTAAATATTATGCACTACCTTTCTGACATTGCAACCTCAAATCATAAATCAAGATTGTTAGTATCTTATATGATAGCATGAAACATTCTTATGCCTTTTATATTGCATTTTTGAAGGATCAAGAGCCAATGAAGACGAGCATTCCTCCAAGTTCATACCAGAAGCCTCTGAAACCAGTCAGGCCACCTTTGATTCCAACTGAAGATGAGCAGGAGAAGCATGAAGAAGGCTTCTTTGGATCTCTTGGGAAGCTTTTGGTCAATGCTGGGGCATCTGGTATGGAAATTCTTGGGGCAATATTTCCCGGTTTCAGGAAAAAACATCTGAACTATCAATACCAAAGTCAGCAGCAACAGAAGTACTCAAATTCCTGGCCTGTGCAAGATAGCTATGTGATACCAGATGAAGATGAGCCACCTTCCATTGAAACCCGAACTCCCACCCCTCGCAAAACCTACCCATTCATGGCCAAGGATGCTGAAACAATCCATCAGTTGCGGCAAAGTCGAGTTTTCTCTAATGGATGGGATAATCTTCAGCAGCAACAGCAGCAGCAGCAAAAACAACCACAGCAGCATTATCATCGGTACCAATCATCAACCCCAAATACTATCTATGAGCAGAGTAGCGAAAATACCACCGAGGTTGTGTTTGGTGCAGTTCAGGAGCAGGATGGGAAGGGTGAAGCTGTGGTCATTAAGCCTATTGATTATGGAGCTCCATTGTTCAATCATCACAGTTTCGGGTCCCGAATCAATCCGAACGGCTATAGTTATACCCATGGATGTTATTGATCATACACTTAATAAAGATGCATAGTTTTGACCTTATATATTCTTCATATAAATCCTTCAAATTTTAGGTTATAGGCAGTGGCAACCATTCCTGGTAAGTTGTATGTGGAAGGTTTTCAGCCCCTTTGCAATGTGAGGTATCTCACTCTGGTCAAAATATACAAGGTTTTTGTTCAAGAATATTGGTCCAATTTCTTTCTTTGTTCAAGGAATGTGGTATTCCTTTTTTTTTTTTTTAATATTTTTTTTTTGTTTTTTTTTTAATTTTGAGTGGGAGGGAGATTTAAACTTGGGGTGCAGAAAAGCAAGACACTGACACTTACAAATGTGATATTCTTTGATGCTTTACTAAGGCCTTCCACAAAATGTTGAAAAAAGTGTGATACGAATATATTAAACTCATATAGAAATCATACTTTATAGTGGGTTGAAAAATTTGAGTGTGATACTAATTTATTGAACTCACGAGTTCATGAGTTCAATGTATCAAACTCATGAGTGTGGTATCAATATATTGAACTCACACTAGCGGTAGTGTTATAAAAATTGAATTCAAGATGACTGATCCCTATACACATACCACTCACCTGAACCATTGTGGAAGGCCTAAACGCTTTGTTTAAAAATACAAAAATTAAGATCTAACCGTTAAAATGCCCAGAATATCCTCTACTTCAGAGCATCATAGAATTTATGAAAATCAAACAGAGTTTCTCAAAATAGACGCAAAGGACTGAAATTGCTATATTTATAACTGACAAAAACATATTCAAAATGTTCACAATCCTCACAACTGGAGGTAAACTATATATACAACACAGACGTCTTTCTTCTTGTTTTATCACTTCATCTCCTTTTAACTAAACCCGAATTACCGCCCAAAGCCCCATCCACCAGACTTGTTTCTTTAGCTCCCTCCACAAATCCCATAATATTACTGTCTATCAGACCCTCTATTCTTCCATGGGAGCTAGATAACACATCGCTCGTCCCATCACCACCGTCTCCTTCCTTCATGCTGCACAGTTCCAGGCCTCCATCGAAACCCACCAAATCCTTAAGCTGATCCACATACTTGGACGACGACTCTGTTATCTCAAAACAACTACTACTACTGTCATCAACATCGGAATCAAGCAGAGGCACACACTCCTTGGGCGGAATCCAGGAATCCTCTACGTAGTTAATCCTAAACATAAGAGAAATATGAGAGATGCCCAACAGATACAGCTGCCTCAACAACGACAAAACAGGGCCGTAGCTAGCAGTTGCGCCTCTGACGGCGAAGCAAATTGTCTGTACTACTTGCTTCCCCAGAATGATTCGGCAGCGCTTCCATGTCGAGCGGGAGACGAGCCGCTGGCAGCCCTCCTGTCTAACAAGTCCCAGTTAACAACATTAGACACATTGCGTTACAGTAGTGATCTTGGCACTCAAAGCATCACAAACATCAATCAAACACTTACATTGGGGAATATGTAAGGCCGCATCACAAATCCAACAACAATTCCAAAAACACACGACACGCAGAGACCCAAAATCCAAATCGAAACTGCTCCAAGTTCTGCAAATTGCATATTGCATAATGCAAAAATTGAATTTCACAACTAAACTGCACGAAACTATTGCATTTGCAGGAAAAACTCACTGGACGGAGAACTCCTGGCGCAGTCCTCCGGCTTGAGATTAATCAACCGGATCAACTGATTCCCGCGATCGGAGACAAGCAGCGCGCACTGATCGGCAGCAAAAGCCAGCTCAATGTCCGGTGAAAACGTTGCGTTTTGAGCAGGGCCGTCCTCGCGCCCAGGCTTCACCGAGTACCCTCCGGCAATCGTGCTCACACCTATCCATCCAATGCATCCAATGCAGCAAAAACACACAGATGAGTGAGCGACTATTTACGATTATGCCACGCTTGCTAAAATCCTAGAAGAAAGAGAGTTTCTCAGGTCACCTGAAGCGCTTATCTTCCGAATGACGTTATTGCCCTTATCGGCTACGAAGACGTTTCCTTTCGGACTCACGGCGAAGCTCCGGGGCTTCTTGAACCGGGCCGAACCCGACTCCCCATCCGAATATCCGTCGCCGTTACCGGATAACCGTGTAATCACACTCTCTGAAACGTTACGACTCGTCGTTAAGCGTAAAAGTACGGTTCGGAACTCGGAAGTAAGATAGTTTTACTGTTTTGGAATTTACCTTGGGATCCGGGCGTGGGAAATGGCACGGCGTAGAAGGCGCTACCGGAAGAGTCGAGGACGAGGAGATCGGACGATCCAGGGGAAGCGAGCACCGCGTAGGGGTTCACGCCGAGTTTGTGGCCGTCGATCACCGTCGTGACGGTGTACCCGTCTTCCAGCACCACGTCGGCGGATACTGAATGGAAATAAAAGGAAACCCAGGGAGTGAAACGCAAATATAAATATGTCCACGTCATTTCAGGGCTTTTTATTTGAGAAAATTACGGTTTTACCTCGAGGTGGGGCGACGCTGAGGAGGAAGACGAAGAGAGCAACGGCAGAGGACTGGAAGCGCAACGCCATTGAATCGTGACAGCGACGGCAGTGGAAGCAGAAACTTTCTATTGAGAAACTTTACTGAACCAGGTAGGTGAATAGAGGGCAACTTCTCATCAGGACCGTCGGATGATTTGGCACGGATTCGCGCCACGTCACCCCGGGTTCCACAGTTAATTCGCGCCAATCGAATCCACTGAGAAAAGGGATAATTATACTTTGCACCCCCTTGGTTTTAAATCTAGTAACAATTTGATCCATGTTTTTCAAAACTTAGCAAAAACCGCCTTTCTAAATTTGCAAAATTGTTAATTTGTTGAGATGTTGCAAATTATTCAATGCTACATGAATTACTCTCTATCATGTTGAGGAGCCTTTCGATCGCGAGAGGAGGATCTTTGTGTGAAACTAAACTTGCTTAAATAATTACGTCATGATTCGAGTTCGAAATAGGTGTAGGGATTAGGCAAAACTGCAACGAGGCTCACCTAGTGATGCAATTGTGTGGTGAACGTAATATACCTCTTGAGACCAACGAGAAACGAGTGATCACAACCTCTGCTAAATCGCTCAACATGCAATTAGTTCAAAATGTAGCGACTAAATTGATGTAGACTCTAAACTACATGGTGCCTAGTGAAATTTACAAAAAAAAAAAAAAAAAAAAAAAAAGAATATACCAATGCCAAGGGTGGAGGATTTGGATCCTGAGCTAATGGAGAGGATCCTCTTAACCAGTTATCATGAGCCGTTGGATAAAAATCCAATGGCCATAATTATTATAACTTTAAAGGAACCCCCTGTTTGTAGCCGTTGGATAAAAATCCAACGGCTCATGATAACTGGTCAGGAGGATCCTCTCCATTAGCTCAGGAGAGGATCCAAATCCAAGGGTGGACCCATCCTACTCACAACAGTGGGGATCCTCTTTGTGAGGATTCTGAAAATCCTCAAATTGTGTTTGTTTATCGTAAATTATATGGTCATAAATTATTTTAAATATTTTTATTTTAAATTAAATATGAATAGTATTTGATGAATACAATGAATGAACACAATTTAAAAATCCCCAAAATCCTCAAAAGACGATTCAGAGAGGATTGTCCTTGCTCAATCACCACTCCTAGAGAATTTAAGTGCCGATTTTGTAATATATTAATTTTTTTGGGTGCATATTTTTAGAAAAGTGTTATTGGTGCTCTAAAAATATCATTTATTCTTTTCATATATATAAAGCTAGGGATGTATAAAGAGATTTTTGGAAAAGTAATAACAATTTCATATTTTTATTTTATTTTATTATTTTTCAGTTTTACAAAGACCAAAAAAGAGCATTTTCATCGTAAACGGAAGGAAGAGACCCTGAAACAAAAGAAGAGAAAAACTCGAACACAATACTCTCTCTCAGATCCAAATCTCTCCTCTCTCTCTCTACACTTTCTAACCCAGATCTCTCCGGTAACGTATTCGGATCTCGGATTCCGAATTCGAACCATCCAATTTGCCGCCCGAATCAGTTGATTGATCGCCGCGGCTGCTAGGTTTGCCTCCCATTTGCGGATCCGATTGAGCTTTCGCGGAGCTTCAACCACGGACCCAATCATGAATCCCTTCTCGTCCGGCACGCGCCTGAGGTAACAATTCACAAAACCCTTGCTCATTTCCCAATTGTCAGATTACTTGTTGAAATTCATATATGAATACGTACGGATTTTAATTTTGTAAAATTCGGTTTGTTTTTATTGCTATTTTTTGAGATTCGGGAAGATTCGCCGTCACCGCAGCTTAATTGTGTAGTTAGGAATGCATTGTAGTTGAAATTGATCTATAACTTTTAGTATGTTTGGTCCAAGTAGTTGGAGCTGCTTTTATTGCGAAATGCGTGGCGGGTTTTGTTGCTTCATTAGGGGGTGGTAGTTTAATTTACCTGAGTAAATGTTGGAATGTGTGGGCTTGTACACTACTTAGCTAATTGCATTGTCCTTTGGGTGTGTAATTGGTATGCGGCATCATAGGCTGGTGTTTGCTTCTATGGAAGGAGAATACCTGATCTATAGTTCTTAAGAATTCCTCAGAAGGTGTAGAAGTGTCGGGTTTGTTCTTGTCAAGATTCTTTGAAAGGAGCAAGGGTGTTGACAAGGCAATCCTCCAAGTTGGTTTAGTGAAAACTCTATGTCAGGGAAGCATAGTTCCACTCTTGAGTATGATTGGGATATATGTACATTCAAGGTGTTTGGCATTGTCAAAGGCAGTAGGTTCTTCTTGCAGAGTGGTTTGTTTTGGCTTTTTGCTTTGTCAGTGCATAGATATGACTCCTGAGTAAAAGGATACATCGGGCAGATCAAGGTTTTTGTATTTTGGGAAAATCTTGAACATTTCACAGCTCAGCTAAGTGCTAAGACTTTTCCCTTTTTGTCATTTCTCCCGCTTAGAAAGAGTGAACCCGATTTTTACGTTGGAAGTTCACATTATTAGCAAACTGTGGTACCTCTTAACATGGTCAGAGACTCATGAAGCATGATGTAGCTTGATAGAGGGATTCCCTGGTGTTCCAATGGTTCAATTTAGTGTCACCATAGTGGGTTTGCGATTTTGAATGCTTGCCAAGTGCTTGGAAGGGTGATTAGCTGCCACTAGGGAACTATTTACTGTTCTGAATTAGGTTTGCAATCCTAAAGCAATGTCATTAGTATTAGCTAAGCAAGTTGGCACATATTAGCTGTTGAGGTTTCTACATGATCTTTGAAAGATTCCAGGAAAAAAATGACAAATTGTGATGTCAGAGTTCACACGTATGTCAGATTCCATCTTATCTTTCTTCACTAAACACTAGTCCTTATGATCTTACTTTCATTATAGAATAGTTCAATAGAAAGCTTGAAAGAATTGGAACCTAACAGTCAGCTAAAGTTAATGGCCTTTAGGGCCATGAAGGCACAATGTTGAAGTATGTAATTTACAACGTGTCAAATCTTCTCATTCCTCTTAGAAACTGGGATTGGCTGGAAAATGAAGTGATTTCAAATATTCAAGTCACTTTTAGGATCTCACAACCTATATAGTTTCCAAATCATAGCATTTATTTTTCTAGTTTTGAATCTTTTTCCATGAATTTTGTTAAGGGCACTTCATATTGTTAGGAATGATGTACCCAAATGAGTAAATTCTAAATAGTTATCACCTTGTTAGTATATTTTCTTTCACCCAAGATGATTGACATGCATAATTGTTAACCTAATCTCACGTGTAATATGTTATGTATTGTTTAAATGCAGGGACATGATTCGGGCTATACGTGCTTGCAAAACTGCAGCGGAGGAACGTGCTGTTGTTAGAAAAGAGTGTGCTGCTATTCGTGCATCCATAAACGAAAATGATCATGACTACAGGCATCGTAACCTTGCTAAGCTCATGTTCATCCACATGCTGGGTTATCCCACACATTTTGGTCAAATGGAGTGCCTGAAATTGATTGCATCTGCTGGTTTTCCTGAGAAGAGAATAGGGTATCTTGGCCTCATGCTGCTTCTTGATGAAAGACAAGAAGTTCTGATGTTGGTCACAAACTCATTGAAACAGTATCCACCTCTTAGATGACTATTTCATTAGAAAAAGCATTGCTCACTCTGATCTGCTTTTCCCCTGCTTTAATACCAATTAATAAGTTTGTCAAAGATACAATACTTTCACAAGCACACAAGATAATGTAAGTTTATGTTTCCTTGTAGCAACCTTAACTTGTATGCAGAGATCTCAATCACACCAACCAATATATTGTGGGACTTGCTCTTTGTGCTCTGGGAAATATTTGTTCAGCTGAAATGGCTCGTGATCTTGCACCAGAAGTGGAAAGGTTGCTGCAATTTCGAGATCCAAATATCCGAAAAAAGGTGAGTTTTACTAATATATTTTCATCTGGCCAAGATTTTGTTGTTTTGGAACTTGCGTATGGCATCGTATGTTAATCTCACAAGATTGGAAAATATGGAAGGGAGAAGGAAGAGCCATAATTATTTTAAGCCTTGAGATTAATTTAGCATTCCGGAAAGTGTTGACAATGACCTTCTTTGAGTTTCCTTTTTATTAAATTTTCTTTTATAAAAATGTATAGTTCATGGGCACTGGACTGGAAACCATTTCATGGTTGCCTTATCAAATTATTTCATAACTAGACGCAAAAACTATATCATATGATTTAATCTTCAAAGCTCATTCCTTGAACAATGCCAAGATTCTGCACCGTTTATTATACACATGGCTGAATTTCTTACATATTGTTTTGTTCAGGAATTAAACTAAATGTCCTCTTATGAATATCTGCTACATATTTAGTTAATGTCTTATATTAGTTCTTATGGTCCGCAAACACTTGAGCTATCTGGTCGTTGAGTTTCTGCGCAAACCAACCTTTTTGTTGCATTGGTCTGCTTTTGGAACATGTTTTGACAAATTTTTGGTCCATCTCTTTGCACCTAAAATGCAATTGTCTGAATCTGTATTAATACTTATATGCAAGTTAGAAATTCTCATGCCGTTTGATTCCTAATTGCCAATATTAAATTTGTTGTACATATCATCTTTTTCTGGTGGCTTCCCTTTCTTTATGAAGAACAAAAACTGTCAATGTGTTGAAATTTGACATTTGATCTTGTTGGGGAAAAATTACACTTTTTTTTTTCCCTCAAATTGTGTTTGGTAATTTGGCATTGTTTTTTTCTTCTTTCTTTCCTGGACTCCTTATGTTTCATTTATCAGTTTTTTCTCTTATTTTGAACTGACTACACTCCTGTTAAATGTAGGCAGCATTGTGCTCTATAAGGATTATAAGGAAAGTCCCTGAGCTGGCGGAAAATTTCATTAATCCTGCTGCTACGTTACTTAAAGAAAAGCATCATGGTGTTTTAATAACAGGGGTTCAACTTTGTACAGATCTTTGTAAAGTCAGTGAAGAAGCCCTTGAATATTTCAGAAAGGTAACTTGACTATGGCCTATAATAGATCTTCTATACAACTTAAAAAGAGACAATGCAGAAATGGTGTTCTTATGCAATATGATTGTTGTAATTGGGATTAATTTTGCTATGTTAACTAATAGGCTGTTTCTCATGCCTTCTTGTAAGTTGTACAGTGTTCATATTGGCGAGTATGCATACAACTACAAAGATCGTTATCATGTTGATTCCTTGAGCAAGATAATTTAGCTTTACAATTGACCAGTTCTTATTGCGCTACAGTTCTGGTTCTACTTTCAGGATTATTGTAGCAGATCTAAATTTTGTATGAACTCTGGTTAATCTAGAACATATGGACTTTAGCACTTAGCAGTTATGTGTAATGGATGCTCCTATATAGAGTTGTTTATTATTTTAATTTGAAAGTGTTGTTTTAGGGAACTTTTGAAAAGTTAACTTGAAAAGGGAAAAAATGTGTTGTTTTCTAATAACTTGAACTAATTGTTAATGCAGAAGTGCACCGAGGGCTTGGTAAAAACACTTAAGGATGTAGTGAATAGTCCATATGCCCCTGAGTATGACATTGCTGGGATCGCAGATCCTTTCCTGCATATTAGATTGCTAAAGCTTTTACGTGTGTTGGGCCAAGGAGATGCGGATGCTAGTGAATGTATGAATGACATACTTGCCCAGGTAAGTTGCTACAGAGTTTATTTCATGCCATCTTTGCTATTAGCCATTGCAAGCTATTAATCTTTAGTTATTACTGCTGTAAAAAGATTTCGTACCTACAAAAGAAAATTTTCAACCTCGTGCTGATGATAATAAAGGATTAAAGGTAAGCAAGAGGGAAAAAAAAAAAAAAACTCACTAGTCACAACTTGCATATTGTAGCTAATTTTTCAGTATTGAATTCGGGCTGTGAGGACTGAGGAAATACTATCACATGCATTTAGTCCATGTTTCTGCAATATCTATTGCCATATAATAAGCTGATGTTTCTGCAATATCTTTGCCATTGTGTAACTATTAATCTTTAGTTATTAATGTTGTAAATATATTTCAACTTCTACATTACCTACGAAAGAAAAACTCCCAACAAGAATATTCCCAAAACTATTAACTTCGTTACCATTGTGTTTCGTAATTTGAATTATTCTGTGATTTTCTTTCTAAAGTTGACTCTTATTTTTTCCTAGGTGGCGACAAAAACCGAGTCAAACAAAAATGCAGGAAATGCAATCCTATATGAATGTGTTGAAACTATCATGAGCATTGAAGATAGTGGTGGCTTACGTGTGCTTGCCATCAATATCTTGGGAAGATTCTTATCAAATCGTGACAACAATATCAGGTCTAACTATGATACCTTAACGTATGCAAAGCTTTATTTCTGTCACCATATCAGTTTTTTTTCCTTCTTATCAAATCGTGACAACAATATCAGGTCTTTTGTGATATTTTAACTTGGACAATGTTTTATTGTCTGCTACCATATCAGTGTTGAATTTTTCCAACTTTGGCAATTGTTTAGACATTATACTTTAGTGCATTGGGGTTCTCAACTTGGTTTGTCCAATTAACCCTGAATTGCTTACTGTTTTGGATAAATGTGACAAACCAATACTGAAGCTTTGTGATCATTTGACTTTATTATGTTCTTGCTTAGCTGTTTTCCTGTTTTGTTATTTCATTGAAATTTTCTTTTATTCCTTCCAGATATGTTGCATTAAACATGCTGATGAAGGCAATTACAGTTGATGCTCAAGCTGTGCAGAGGCATCGGGCAACTATCTTGGAATGTGTAAAGGTATATTGTTTGCTCGTGTTTTATGAGAATTAAGAAGGCCTCCTTTTCCAATAAATGTTGACTCAAATGCCTTATTATTCAACTTTTCTTTAGGATTAATGTACAACTTGAAAATCTTGTGACTTGAATCTTCTTTCAGGATTCAGATGCCTCAATTCGGAAGAGGGCCCTTGAGCTTGTTTATGTGCTTGTGAATGAGAGCAATGTGAAACCTCTAACAAAAGAGCTTATTGACTATTTGGAAGTAAGTGATGAAGAATTCAAGGGAGATCTTACTGCAAAAATTTGCTCCATTGTTACAAAGTAAGATATGCACTTTAGTCGGATAAAATCATAAAAGAAAAACTTATGCAGTTTAAATTTAGAGTGGGTTGTTTTTTCTTTTTAAATTTAGCGAAAGAGCTCATTGACTATTGGGGGAAGGGTAGGGTTGTGATACTGCTCCGTATTGTAAGATTATTTTACAACAACAAGGTTCAGCATTTCATCGCATTTTTATTTTAGCAACTATTATTTAATGTGCATTCACCTCTCATGATTTAGGTTTTCCCCCGAGAAGATTTGGTACATTGACCAGATGCTTAAGGTTCTCTCTGAGGTATAAATCCAAATGAAGTGGTGTCAGTATTAATTAAGTTGTATTTGTGATGGTCTTGTATCTTGCACATGTTTTTGGCATGTTATACCTAATGTCTGCTTGTTGAATTTCTTTATTTACTTGATGGTTATTTCTACTTTTATTATACTGAACTGGGAATTTGTTTCAAAGAAGTACTGATCTTTATGTTGTGCTTAGTAGGCTGGAAATTTTGTAAAAGATGAAGTATGGCACGCACTTATTGTTGTGATTAGCAATGCTTCTGATCTCCATGGATATACAGTTAGGGTGTTATACCGAGCATTCCAATTATCAGCTGAACAGGTGATCATTGTCTTGCTTTGATAGGATTAATTATCAATTTTAAAGTCCCTATTATCTTGAGTATCCAGGTTGCATGTCATTGATGTTTTTGAGTATAATATTTTATACAGGAAAGTCTTGTTCGAGTAGCAATTTGGTGCATTGGAGAATACGGTGACATGTTGGTTAACAATGTTGGCATGCTCGATATAGAGGACCCAATAACAGTGAGTGCACCCTTTCCATGTGTTTCATTCATCTCACCTTTCTGCATTCATCTTTTAATTGTATAAAGTTACATGCAGCACCTGCACTTAGCAATTGTTATTTATTTTAACATGAAAAGCATAAAGAATCTGTGCATGCCCTTGTATGCCCAATATATGAGCTTTTAGTAGCAGAGCTCTCTTTTATTTATTTAAAATTTTTCTGAAGTCATCTTTCTTGCATTAGCATAAAATTAATAAAAGACCGCTGTTTTAATAAGTTGGAACAGTGATTCAAGATCTATGATTATATTTAGTGTTCTAGCCATCACTTCAAATCAGAAATGGCTAATAGTCATTTAGATATTTTCTGCAAAGTGTTTGCTTATCTTTTCAAGGCTAAAACATTAAAATATCTAAATGAATATTAGCCATTTTCTGATTTGAAGTGATGGCATAGTGAAACACTTCATATTTGATTGAAGACTCTCAAATTTTTAGTTGGTGGTAGAAGTTGGTGGTAGGGAATTGGGGTCCTATTAGTTTACATGCTTTTATATATCTTCCAATTGGAGATACCATTGTTTCTGGTACAGAAGTTCCTATAAAAATGGGAAATGCCCTTTTGGTTCTCCCAGAAAAAATCACTCATTTTTTTGAACCGGTTTTTAAAGAACTCAAAAAAAAAAAAAAAAAAAATTGCAAAAGAAATGTCTAGGAATTTTTAACAAAGTTTCCTGACAAATTACTTTATCTGTTAAACAGGTAACAGAGTCTGATGCTGTGGATGTTATAGAGGTTGCAATTAAGCATCATACCTCGGATCTAACTACCAAATCAATGGGTTTGATTGCTCTGTTGAAACTATCTTCGCGTTTCCCATCTTGTTCAGAGTATGTTTTTTTTTCTTTGTAAAAAATTCTGTTCAACTGTTTACCAAGTTTCCCAAATAATGTGACATGGCGTTTAATATATTAATCTTATTTTCCTCTTATGACACAAAGCATGATTGTTATCTGAATGACTTATGTAGGAGGATCAAGGATATAGTTGTTCAATACAAAGGAAGCCTTGTCCTTGAATTGCAGCAAAGATCCATTGAATTGAACTCTATTATTGCAAAGCATCAGAACATTAGGTATCCAGGTTTAAGAAGTTAGAACTATTTTTTGTAACGGCATAATCTATGTTCTGCTCTTTCTCTCTTTTCTCACCATGCTCCAGTAGCCCTTCCGTTAAACATGAAATCTGACAATGAGTTTGTGCAGATCTACACTGGTTGAAAGGATGCCAGTTTTGGATGAGGCAACTTTCATCGGAAAGAAGGCTGGTTCAATGCAATCTACTGTTTCTTCTCCTGTTGGTGCTTCAATCAATCTGCCAAATGGAGTTGCCAAACCTTCTGCAGCTCCTCTTGTGGATCTACTTGATCTAGGTTCAGATGATGTGCCAGCACCTAGCTCCTCTGGTGGTGATTTGCTTCATGATCTTCTTGGTGTTGATTTGGCACCAGCTTCTAAACAATCTGGTTAGTTTGGAAAAGATTATGTCACTTTATGGGCCAGAAGTACTAAATTGAACCACTATCCTGATTCATCGTCATTACATGGAGCATCTTATATTATGTTTAAGTTGGGGCATATGTAAAACCTAAATTTAATCTGATATAATATCCCATAACTAGTTTTGTGGGCATGGGTTAGGTAGTGTTCTCAACTCTCTACTTTGAATCTGAAGTCATATCCCATAACTAGTTATTTTATTTTTTCGGCATCGTAGTGCATTGAAATGAAATACTTAATTCTACCAAACCTTTCTCTGGTCCGTGCTTGTCTTTGAAATTTTGATTTAGTCCTATGAATGGGGTAAGAACCCTATGAACTTATGAAGGGTAATGCCTCCCAGCAACCCATAGTTAACTGTAATATTCTTCGTCTTAAATTGAATCTGTTTCTTGCTGTGGTGATATAAGGAATAATTTATATGGGACTTCAATTGTTTTGGTGTTGCGTTATATAGATATACCAATAGACAAAGGGGAAAGAAGAAAAAGTATTTGCATTATGTCTCTTTTCTCAATTCTCAATTCTCAACCTTGTATTGTTTGTTATTCTCTTAGGTGTAAATCATTCTCTAAATAATAATGGCACCGATGTTCTACTGGATCTCTTGTCTATCGGTTCACCTACACAAAGCAGCTCATCTCTACCAGATATGTTATCCTCCAGTCAAGGAAACAAAACACCTGTTTCACCATTAGGACTAGCAGCTCCATCTTCAAATTCAATACAAGCCACTTCTTCTGCGGGAGCTGCCCCTGTGATTGATTTGTTGGATGGCTTTGCTGCTAGCACCCCAAAACATGGTAAAATTTTATCAACCCGGAAAAGTTTATTTTTTAGATATGATTGGGTTTATTTCGTGATAGCCTTATTTTTTAAATAAGCAGAAAACAATGGCACAGCTTATCCATCTGTAGTGGCATTTGAAAGCAGCAACTTAAGGATGGTTTTCAACTTCTCAAAGCAGCCTGGAAATCCACAAACAACAGTGATCGAGGCTACATTCACAAATTTGTCCGCTAATGTCTATACAGATTTTATTTTTCAGGCAGCTGTTCCAAAGGTGATTTTGGTCACTTAAATCTACGCTGTTACTGTTCTTTCTTTTAGGTTGTCTGTTTTCAATGGGATTTCCCATTCTCATGTAGTTTAGATGCAAAGTTGAATGTCTCTTCTAGAATTCACAGAACTTGAAAACTTGAACCTTGCCTTGGTGTATCCGAAAAGAATAAAAGAGAAACTCTGTGTGCTAGTAAATTCAGTCATGAATGAAACCTGAGTGGTCCTGTATAGATTCCCACATTGTACTCACAAAATTCTTTTGTGCTTTGTTGTTGTACTCCTCTAATGGTATGGTAACCATTGAAAGTTTGCCCATGATTTTTAGTTGAAGCCTTTGATGTTCTTATGGATTCTGTTTATTTGTTGTTAATTTCAACTTGCTGTTCTGATTTCTTTTTATGTGCTTCCAATTTGCAGTTTCTTCAATTGCACTTAGAACCGGCTAGTAGCAATACTTTGCCCGCAAGTGGTAATGGGTCCGTCACACAAACTTTGAGAGTTACCAACAGCCAACTTGGAAAGGTATGTTCTGAATTTGACTGCTGCATGTCATGAGCAAGCGAAAGCAATTCATTTCATGTTAATTCTTTTCATCCTTTCCGCCCTTTGAGAGTTACCAGCGGCTAAACAAATTTTTGTTGTTGTTTAGTTGTGCTTTTTCCTTTGTTCCATCCAGCCCCTTCCATTCCTTGTAGTATGAGATGCATGTACCAGATAGAACCAGTCATCCGTAGTAGCTGACCATGAATGTAGTACAGCATGACATATAGTAAAAATTGTAGGGATCATGGAGCTGTTTATTAATGGTTGAGATGCAATCATTGTGTTAATCCTTTGCTTACGTTAGGGCCCGTTGGATCACCTCCCTATATATTGATATCTAGAACACAATGTTGTATGGTTTATGTACGTTTGGAACCCATGCTGTATTTTAGTAACCTCAACCCAAGTTTAGTCCAATGACACTGAGTTGGGGACGTAGATCCTTAACATAAGAGCTATGGTTTATTTCTTTTTATCCCCTTCATTGTTTGGTGGATGTTGTGGATAGTGAAGAAAATTCACATCTTTTCAGAAATCGCTTGTCATGCGCATACGGATAGCTTACAAGATGAACAACAAAGATGTCTTGGAGGAAGGACAAATCAGTAAATTTCCGCCGGGTTTATGAGGTTGAGTAGTTTGCACAGATGGGTAAAGACAGATTCAAACAGACCGTGATGTCGGTGCAGTGTTTTCCTTATGTTCATTTGCTCGGTTTGGGGTTGGCATGTTCTGTGGCAATCGGGAATGATTTTTCCTCGGAGCGGGGTTTTATCGAGTGGCTCGGTAAGTCGCCCGTTCCCATCCCCTTGTAGGAGGTTTTATGTACATTATTACAAATTATTCCTGTACGAAATTGTGGGAATTAAATTTTGCTTCTGATGCACGAGAGGAGGGAGCTGTAGTATCTTACGTCGAGATTTTGTGGTGCTGTTCCTACTTGCATTTTTTTTAGTTTGGATTTGCTCTCTATTAGCGTTATTGTTTGAGATCATATATTTCTTTTTAACAACAGTCGGTTTATATATTATATATATCGCTTTAAATGTAACAATTTTAAACGATGATATTAATGAAAGCTGATTTTGCTTCTTGTTTCTCTTCTATTGTACTCCATTTGTTAAGGTCGGTGCTGTCTACACACCTATTTTTACCTCTCACGCATCATTCTCAATTTTCGGTTTTCGGGTTGATTGAATTAAAGATGATTCAATAGACAAAAATTAACAAGGGTGTATGAGAGGTAAAAATGGGCGTGTGAATAGCAGTACTATTAACCATAGTCATTAGTGATGACATGGTTACTTAGTAATGAAGAATATAGTTAGTTGAAATGTGTTGGTAGGTTGTCATAAGGATAAGATTGGTTAGTATAGTTAGAAGGGTATTATTGTAATTAGGTTATATGGCTATATAAGGGATTGTATAGCTATCATTTCCTTAAGTTCTTTTGTATACATTTTCTCCATTTTAATCAATACAATCTTTCTGGTTTTTCTCTCTATCATCTTCATCTTTCTTTGTACCAATTCTTCATCTTTTACAATGTAGTTAATAAGTACCATTTGTTAATTTAATCCTTTTATTTCATTTATATTTAAATTGTCAAGAGGAATAATTACCATTCTTTGGTTGTTGATTTCCTAAGTTGGCTGGTAAAGCTATGTAACAAGAGATAGATGCAGGGTTACATACCGTAGTGATATTGAAATGGTCTGCGTAGAAGTGCTTTTAAAATAATAAAAAGCTCTTTTAGTTCAAAAGTGCTTCTGTCTATGTTTACCAAAAATGATTTTTAAAGAAGCTTTTCCAAACTAAAGTGTTTTTGGTGTTCTAATGGTGCTTTTAGCTTGTGCAGAAGACAACGGAGCATTTTTTGCTCAGGATCATAAATTATGTTGTATGTTCACCATGCATCTATTACTTACCATGTGTTCTTTCATTTAACCTTAGTTAAATATTTTTGAAATTCAGAAAATAATATTTAATGTGAAAGTTAATTAGAGTTAGATAAAAAAATACGTGACAGATGATTAGATATATAGTGAACAAACACTATAATTATGATGGCGAAATAAAATACTCCCCGAAAAAAATGAAGTGTGAGATTGATTATTGGTTGCCCCATCGGCACGTGTCATTGTTTACTCAAACAATCCTGGTAACCATAACTTTTGAATACAAGTTGGTCAAATTAATAGATATTAGGTAACGTAAACGTAGCAAAATTGCAATCATAGCAATTATTCAATCGCATATTTAGAACCAAACACATGGAAGTGGAAGGGCCTTAATCCCTTGGATTCTCCCAAATCCCCATAAATGTCAAACGCCACCTATTTATCTGTTCATGTCTGTTGACTTTGTATCTCGTGTCGTGGAGTAGTTATTATCGGCATCACAAGAAAGATTATCACCGACAACCGACGCCATCATATTCCATTTTTTATGCCCGTTTCGTGGCGCTTTGCAACATCACAAAGTATGCAAAATCAAAATCATCAACTTGGGGCTACAATGTCATCATCTCTAACCAATCCCACCTTCACATCAAGTGGTTCCCTCTCACTTCAAGTGCTCCACCCTTTATTAATATCGGAGAAATTCTAGTATCTGTTGTCTAGATCATCAGTTTCTTAGTGTACACACTTACGAAAACTCACATGACTCACCCCTCCAAATTTGAGGCTCACCCATGCGCCATTATTCGACTCCTCTCTCTCTCTCTCTTTTGGTCTTGTTTGGTGTTCGGACAAAAGAGTTTATCCTAACATCAGGCATTCTATTTTATTAATCCCAAGCTCTTTGTTTACCAAAATAATAAAAAATCACAAGTTCATTCATTTTCACCCAACTCAGCTCATTTTCCGCAAGTGGCCATTTACCACAATGATGGAAATGAGTTGAGCTCTTACATGACGATGAATTCGAGCTTCGTCGGTTGCTAATCAAACAAAATCTATCGTTTAACCAAAAAAAAACTCAACTCATTTTTCAACAATACGATATTTAAGATTATTCTAAGTTATGGGATTGTGCTAGTCATTTAGTTATCTAATTCATCCTATGTACATTTTTAAAAGATTAAATATTTCCTAGGAAAAAACAAGCAATGGTTAAGCCTAAATTGTTTAATGGTACAAGACTTCCCTAGGATGGTCACATTGTTAGATTCATAAAAGGGCACAAGAAAATATTAAGATCAATCGCAACTGTGTAAGTTGATCTTAACTATTCATATTTGTAAAAAACAAAAACCAAGAACGGCCAAAAATCAACCCACGAATAAGTGTGAACTCGTCTTAGCACGTTATGAGTTTATGACCCCACCGTTCGCTTGTTCTTGTCAACGTTTCAATCCTAGCACGGCGCACCCCCATCAGTCATCAAAACCACAAGAGTCCCTCATACCCCTTTTCACGATCCCACCATCACTATTATATCTATTAGCTCGTTTGAAAGTGTTTTATAAAATGATTGAAAACGTTTTTAATGAAAATATCTTTAGAACAAATCCTTAATAACAATGTAAGTGAATATTGAAAAAGCACTTGAAGTGCTTTTAGAATCCAAATCTTTTTTTTTAATTTATAAAAACGGTTTCAGTCATTATAAAAACACTTATAAACAAACCATATTTCTTTCTTACGAAAAGATTTCACAGCTGGATCAAAAGAAGAGAAAAGAATGGAATTTTCCAAAAAAGAAGGAAAAAAGAAATATATTCTAGAGACACCCAAAGCAGCCAAAAACCAACACTTTGATATGAAACCCTTGTATTTCCTACAAACCAAGTATGCATGTAAAAAGGCTTCTGCTTCTTCTTTTCCCTTTTTCTTTTTCTGTGTATAAAGACATCGCATGGTTTGGTAAGACATTAAGACCCCATACTTTGGAAGAAAGGACTGTTTCAAATGCATTGGAACTTGGAAGGTAGGGTTTCACATTTTTACAATGCATTATCAACGTTACGAGAAATACCTGGCTGTCATCGGAATATATCCCTTCCACCCGTCACATGATGAGAGTATATATTTCCTATGTGACAAGTGCTACAAGAAAATGCTAAAATGAATATAAGGCTAAAGTTTAAGGTAAAGTAAAAGCATTTCTCAAAGTCTGACATCTGCATCGAATTTTACTGAAAAGATAAAGTGCTTCTGCAGCAGCACGGCAGTAAAGACATGAAATTCTGGAAGAAAAGCAAAAGCCAAAACTTGTTTTTTGAAGGAAAAAAAAAATGTAAAAGTAGATATTATTGATATATGGAAAAGAAAGATAAATATACAGTGAGAAGGTTCATCATGTACCCTGAGACCTATCAGTCCATGGCAAACCCACAGTAACAGAGGAATTACCCACATGGGTTTCTGCAGAATTTGGAAATTTACCCTTCTTGGGCCACATCCAAATCTTGGATACAGAAAAGCTTTCACCTTTACTTGCACTGTTAATTTTCTTCCCTTCAGCATCTCCACCTCCAACACTGTAATTAGTAGAATTCCCATTTTGTCCACCTCTCCCTCTCACAAGCCTCACGCTATCACCTGCCCTTTTGGGCCTCAAAGCCACCTGCAACTCCAAATCTGCAACCACATATTGGTATGATCCCATGGAGTAACATCTCCTTGCATCCAAATTGCTGCTGCTGGTTTCTCCCTCTACTCTCTCTCCTCCTCCTCCTCCTCCTCCTCCTCCTCCACAACCACCTGCCTCCTCATTTGTGCTTCTAAATTTCCCAAGTCTCACAGAAAACAACTTCTTCTCACCGACAATCTCATTCTCTGCAGACTTTTGACCAACCCCATTTCCTCCATTTCCCAAAGAACCATCTTGTTCGATCAGATCATCAAAATCGAAAACCGGGTTTTCGATAGCAACCCCTGGCGTGTAGAGGGTCCCTCTACAAAGAGGGCAAGTCGAATTAGACAGCAACCATGTGTCGATGCAATCAATGTGAAAAGCATGACTGCAAACTGGGAGCAATCTCAGCTGATCCTTCTCACAAAACTCACAGAGACAAACTGGACAATCAAATGGTTCTTTCAAACCCTTAATCTCTTTGTAAAGGAACACAGGGAGAGCATCAATGAAAGCTTGATCTAAGCCGGAATCGTGAAGGTGGAAGAGCTGCTGTAATTGTCTCTGGAAATCTTCAGAGCCAGACATTTCTGGGTATCTGTTGGATTCAGATATGGATGAAGATCTATGCTTTGTGAGAAATCTAACAAGCAGGTGGATGATTCCGGATACGAAAAATATTACAGCTAGAACAATTATGATAAAAAGAACTGATGGGCTAATTTTACCCACAGAGGATGATGACGGTGGAGAGGAAAGCAAAGTCCTTTCCCTGATTTGAGCTTGATTCCAAGACATTTTAGGGTAGTGGCATACTAAATTCAACATCAAATTCTAGGATTTTCTCAGAAACCAAACACCCCACACTTTCTCACCTTTTTGTAAAAACCAAGAAAATCAGATTCCTTGCTTGCATTCAGATCAAACCCAACTCATACTTTGAAGTAAGCAACACAACAAGCAACAGGCACACTATTTCTTGTGATCTCAACAAACCTAATTCAGATTTGGTCAACAATGTGCAGAAAAATAAAAACTTTGACCCAATTCAGAAGTCTACCTACTGCCACTGGTTCTAGAACCACCACCACCTCTGTGTTTTCTCAAATTTCAGTTCAGAAATGCAACCAAAATACTGGAGTTGAAGTTGAAGAACATAAAAAATATATATATAAAAAAAAGAAGAAGGCAGGAGCTGTCCAGTTTGCAGTTTACCGACCTGAAAAACTGGAAAACCTGCCATTAACGGAGCCCATTTGAGTCTTTGACATGTGCTTCTTGTCTTGGACTTGGACAGTGTAGCAGGTGATGAAAAATAAAAATAAAAAAAAACCCTAAAGAATACGATTTGGGCGGGCGGTACTCATTGAGATTTGAGGAGGGGTTTTAATTTATTTATGTTGGAAAGTAGTGTGGTTAGCGGCAACAAAAAGAGCTAGTCCGAGGGTAAAACTGTCATTTGGAAATATAAGAACAGTAACCTCGTACGTGTCAATCATGGAAGGACCCAGTTTTCTTTAGATTTTTGCCAATTTTCAGGTACATATTTGGATTTTGTTGCCGATTTTACTGTGCAAGTTTGGCATCTCTGCCTCTGTGTTGGCTTTTTTACCAACCAACCATTGTGATTGGCTGGTGCCCATTTCTTTGTGGGTCCAAAATTATTTGGTCAATGGACTTTTAATAGTCCAATTTGAAGATCTCGCAAGTTGAAATGGGGCTCAAAAGCCCAACTACGAAATGCACCTGTCTATTGTATGATTTGATTCAAATAAATTTATGTCAAACTCGTCATTTATATAAGTCGAACGTAAATCACATTGTGTGACTGAAGTTTATACTTCTATTATGATGGAGGCATATAATGAATTGGTATTATTCTGATTTCGACTTCCCTCCACATTAAAACACGTAGAGAAACAAAACATTAGTGTGTGACACATTAAAATTAGTGATTGAACAACCAAGTATCAGATCAACTAGAAAGACGCAACTAGGTATCATTCTAATTAATAGCTTTTTCAATTTGAAATGAGTAAAATCATGCATCTAACAAATCAGTGCTTATTGTACAAAACCAATCAATAAATAAACTGTCTGAAATATAATATTTAGGTACTCATTAGTGAATATTTTATGTACTCAATTTTTTACTTGGTCTAATAAAAAATGTCACATGTTCTTTATTTTTAAAGTTCAAAAAACATGTGTGATAATATTATGAGAAATTTTATTTGAACTTATGTAACTTCTTTCTACACCAAACTTACTTTTTACACTCATATTAGTATTAATTAAACTACATGTCTTTAAACCCAAATTTACTACCTAAATTACCCTCACAAAACCAATTCAATTTGTAAATTAATTTGTACACCCATTTATCAACAATACAGTAGCCAAAATCTCTGCCTTCAATCTTGCAGAACCTAATCACTGCCTTATACCCAATATCTGCTTCTAGGCAAGGCAACCCCAAATTATCTCAGAAATCAAACCCACAAGAAAACTTCAAAAGATCGTCCTTGAAAATTTTGAATTTTTACAACTTAGTGTCATTTTGAAAGCTGGAAGATCTCACCACCCTATGGGGTTCTTCTTCAAGAACTATTTTGAGAGGTGAAAATGGTTTCAATTTTCTTTGAATTTTTTGCTTCTCTTTTTTTTTTTTTGGAAAACTGATTTTTTTTGCTCTCTAGAAATAGAGTTTTATGTTATTTTTTTTAATTTTTTCTATCAATCGCTTCAATGCATCTTTATTTGATTTTTTTCATAAAGTTTCAAATTTCCAAAATGGGTTTTCGAAGACCCAACGCAGCAGAGGCTAGTGCTGATGAAAGATTTCCTGATTTGATCTTTTTCGTAAAGCTTGTTTTTCCTCTATAAGAGCTATTAGAGTTTTAGCTGGAATAAACATGAAATAAACAACAGGGTCCATCTTCTTCAATTGATAAAATGGCCAATGGGTGTTGTAAGTCAAAGGTCCTCTTGATATTCCAACAGGGTCCATCTTCTTCAATTGACACCTAATATTGTTTTTGCATGCATATATTTGCCCTATTTTCCATTTTCTGTGCTGTCGAAATTAGCATCTGCGCACTAATTAATCAAATAGACGCAAAATTAAAACCCATACATTTGAGTGCTTGATGATATCTCACATGTAAATGTAGAGAGATATAGAGGGACGCAAATGATTCCGCTTCATTGATGAAATGACAGTTTTCAAGTATGATTTATGTAGTATTAGAAAATCACTTGTGTTATTAAATGTACATCGAGTTTGTTTTTTTGTTACTTTCAAGGTTTCAACACTCGTATCATTTTTTCTCTGAGATTCCGACCTATTCCTCGTAAGGCACCTATTCTTCTTCATGTGATTTGATCTCCTCCTTGATTTACTTGGATTTAACTTAATATAGATGGTTTGTCTAAAGAAAATCATGATCCTGTTGCATGTGAAAGAGTTTTCAGGGATTGCCATAGTTAGTTTCTTAGTGGCTTTCGCCAATGCATTGGTGTTCGCAACTTTTTTTTTTTGCAGAATTATCACCAATTATTATTGGCGTAGAGATTGCATATCAACGGAGTTGGTATTGTCTTTGATTGGAAAGTGACTATTCGAGTGTTATTTCCACTCTCCAATTGATCAATTTTGATCCTCCTTTAGCCATTTGTTGATTCACACAGTTATATTATAACACGTGCATTAGTAAAATCATACAATGATTTGACCGCTACGCCAAAAAATTTCTCCTTGTGGACCTCATGCCAATTATTAGAATCATGTACAAAAGCTCAAGCCTGGTCTACGTTTTATGTCTAACTGAAAGATGAAGTTGCTTGTATATATCTGAAAACCAATGAATTCAGTTCAGTACAAATATTGCTGGAAGTTAATGACGAAGCTCGGATGGTAGGCCATGGAATACCACGTTCTTTGGTCTGGCAGTTGTATCTTTTTTGCCAAGCACTTGTTTAACTGGGACAAACCATGAAACTGAGTACTTTATGCGACCTACTGGAACTTTTTTCTTTTCACCTTGAGTTACTTTGTTACACAGATTTTGTAGAGCACATATTCTGCATGAAGAGATTAGATACACACCACATGGTGTAGAAGTAAAGCTCCTTACAGACATGGCTGGCCACTTTAGGAATGTTTTATTTTCCACCCTAACATACTTTAAATTAATTTGCTTCGATCATTTAAAAATAAACTTAGATTAGGTTAGCTGACCAGTGCAGTATATTTGGCCTCTTGCATCCAAAGCTCGAAGCCCCTCCTTATAATTTTCATTAAGAATGTTGTGTTAATAGAAAATAATGGGAATTAATTGGCCAAATGATCGTTTTTCACATCCTACTTGCTGAAAATTATTAGAGTTCAATATGTCGTCAAAATTTGTTCACTATGTCATCAATCTTTAACAACTAGCTCGTTGATATACGATGAATACGTCGTCGATATTTAATTTTAATTAGTTCAACAATTGAGATTTGATCTCCAATCATTTTAGCCGATGTTCCCAAAAAATAATTGACCTTATGGAAGCCAAGTTAGGAATTAATGTAGGAATTGTGGTGGCGGATATTACAACCAAAATAAAGACACTAACATCCCAACTGCTTTAGAAGTTTCTTTCATAAGATTCATAAATATAACGCTGGGTTCGTTTACTCTTCTAAGTGACTTGTTGTCTAGGGAACAAAAAATAGCCTCAACATCTCTCTGTCTTTTCATTGCGTTTTTGTTGTGATTTAGCCTCAAACTTGTCCAGGTTAGCCAAATCTTAGTAAATAAAAAATCTTACATATAACACTAAATTTTCACTTATCCAAGCGCTCAAAACGCCCATCGAGTTCCACTCAAAAAATTGCTCAAACTCTTCATAGCAGCAATGATAGTGCAGTATCATTTATGCCTTCCATGCATGTAAATTATTAAGTTGATTTGGGATTCCCATATTATTTTTGAAAGAGAGCTACCAAAAGGATGAAAACAAATATTCCAAAATCGTGGGGTTTCAATCTACTGGAATTCAACTCGGATACAGTTCAGCATTATTCGCCACAGACATAGATTACCTATGGCGTATTCTTAATAATCGCTGCAGATTATCTGTGGGTTCCTCTTTGGTGGTATCAGATGTATTATTCAGGATGCAATACAATCAGAATATTCTAACATGTATGATATCTATGGCTATTGGGCAACAAAGGACACAGTGTATATTGAAATGTTGAAATCTGCAGGCTTTGCCAATTTTTCTACTAGTGTATGTTGCATACAAGAGATTACGCAGTAAATAAGCTGGGGTAGCTAGACTCCCTCCGTTAATGAGAAACTTATATATCTCCCAAATTTTGATTGAATTGGCCTAAACCTCAAACCTGCAGCATTGCGTGCAGGGAAATCTATGTTAAATTCGAAGCGAGGTGGATCTTCAGTTCGTGGTAATTAGAATAAAGTCTCAGGATCTTAAAAAGAAAAACCCTAGCTAGAAATGTTACAAGCTGCGGCCAGCAATAGAAGAGAAGAAACAAAATTCGATAATTATCTAGAAAATATCCTACCTAAAAAACCAATATATGGAACCAAATGGCATTCGATCAAGACCATACATATATAAAACAGGCATGGAGGAAAATTAATATATATTAAGAGAAATAACAAACGTTTAATTACCATCATACATAATTTAATAAAACCAATTAAGGTCGAAATGCATGGCATCACAAATTCACAAGTAGACTCTCATAGCTTGTAAATCTTGGAAAGCGCTTGCAAAACATTAAGTTGCAACCTCAGCTGAAGTATATAATCCGCGGTTTGAAGAAAAAGCCGGTCCGCCTTCAACCTTCTCCCTCCTGGAATCAACATTTGCAGCTTCTTCACCTTCACTTGCACCATCGACCTGCCTCCTCCACCACGACCTCCCACCGCCTGCCTCCGCCTCCTCATCTTCATCGTCTTCATCTTAGATGGCGAAGAATAACCTCTCAGGCCATGAAAATTATTCATAATGTATGGTAGTTTCCAAGCTTGCTAGCAAGTACAAATAATGTTACCTGTACAAAGGCAAAGGCAACCCAAAAATTGCCAAGGAAACCCAGAGAAAGAATGATTTGTTGAAAGTTTGCTTCCAGAATTGAGAGAGATGATGAATGATGGAAGAGGGCTGAGGGCTATGCTCTATAAATGAAGGCAACACTACTAAATAGTAAATAGGACGACGGGGCCATGTGAGCCGAGCAATTCATTATTTTGTTTGTAATTTGGCATTTTGGACGTGTGTGGGCCGAGGGACACCTTCGAATTTTCTCTCACGAACACAATTTTGTTGTCGTTTGCCATATGGGGGGACCCCCTTTAGACTTTACCTCCAAAGAGACCCATGCACGTGTCTGCCAGCCCCTCTAGCTAGGTTTTCGATATGACTGCTATACCGTGTGGAAGAATACAAATTTTTTTATAGTAGTTTATATTCAAGTTTTAATTGCATCAATGTTTGTCATAAAACTTCACACTTGTAAATATTACACACCTATGTAAGTTTTTGTGGTCTCCAGAAATATGGATTGTAGTGGCGAAGCCACCAGCTAATTCTTTTTTTTAAAGAAATAAAAGTTGGAAACAAATATCTGATTCAACTTTTAAATTTTTAGATGTATTAAGGTTTTTTGTAATAAGATTTCACGCCTAGTTCATTGCACGTGCGATTAAGTTGGAAACAATATAAGTGTAATTAGTAAAGAGTCGTTGGTTCGTCCCTCAAAATTTTGACATAATGTAACATTAGTTATCCTACTCAAAACTAAAATGGATTGATTTAATATTCAGATAATCGTGAATCATGTGGTTGGAACTTTGAAAAAAAATTTGCCCTTCATTTCTTTTTTGGTACTCATCAAGGAAGAACGTATGATGTTTTTCATACTCTAGAATAGAATTTTTGTAGGGTTAGTATATCAACAATGTCGTCTTATAACATATAAATTAATAATACTAATTAAGTTAGACCAATGTCAATCACACTCAAAAAAATTTCTTTCGTTCACTCGGACATAAAATTCTTAGACAACGCTTAAAAAGTGATAGAAAGCCTTACGTTGCTAGAAATTTAGACATACTTGCATGTAATTAGTGATCTGAGGGAATTTGAGAATCTCTCTCACCACACCACTCTAAGGTACTACCTATAACCTTATGATTTCTAAACTTGTATGCCACATCTGTCATCGTCCCCGAATCCCGACAGTTGGCATCCCCACACGTGTCCATATGTAATCCTCCGCGTCACCCGTTTCTCGAACACCCGTGTCTCGGGGCTCAGAATCCATCACACTAGGAATTTAGTATTTAGTTTGGAGGTAATGTTAGATAGATTATTTATTTAAATTTTGTTTTTTTAAATTATATGATGTGATGGTTGGTGGTTGAATTTTTTTTAATTATTAAATATATAAGTTAACATCAACCGTTACATTATATAATTAACAAAATATGATTCAAAAATATAATTTTCCTAGCATTTTCTTTAGTTCGTTGTCCAAACTAGGTTCCAGGAGAGTTCTTAGCTATACACGGGATGTGAAGATTTAGAATCGTTGGTTTAATTTATTTATTTTTGGTCGAAGCAACATTTCATTACAAAATCTGGTGATATATGTATCCTAGTACAACATTTGCTTTGAGGAATAATAAATTAAGGGTAGTGCCATCCATAAACTTATTTTTGATTTCACATATTTTTTTTTTCAAATTTTGACCGTTGGATTGAGCAAATTGAATAAGATTAATAACTAAAAATTAATAAGAGTATGAGAGGTAAAAATGGGCGTACAAATTGCACCATCCTAAATTGATTAATTAATTTGCGCCATAATGTGTTGCCAGGCGAAAATTTGAATTGAAACGTAACCAATGTGAATGGATAATTAATCAAGTGGGTTTAGTGACGTGGTTGGACCCAATAGGGCATGTTCCTCCTCATTGTGTTCAAATATCCACCTTCTTTTTCAAATGAGTAATGTTAGGAAGACATAGTTTGTAGATTAAATTTTGTAAACTAAATGACTTGTAAGTTGGTGATTGAATTATTACTTAATCGTTGATAAATATGCTCATTTTGTATTGATGACATTTCATTTGGTTTGCTAATTTAGTCTCCCTAGCATTTCTCTTTCCAAATATATTATGTTAGATAAGAAAACATGTGTTATGTGATGAACGATAATTTTCTTATTTAGGTAAACGATGATTGAAATCAGAAATATGTATGAATGGAAAGAGGGTAGAATGGGCACGATCTTTGCCAACTTGTCCAATGTCCATAATCATCGATGAATAATTATAGCAAACAATAATGTTTCAACACATCACATTTTCGTATCACATGATTTGATAAGTAATTTGTACATTATCTTATTAGATCTTGATCGTATATATACACCACTTGCTTCATCACGTGGTATTAAAATATTGACACAAAAATACAGTATATATGTTTAGTTATGAATGAAAACAAAATGTTGTGTTTACGTTCATCATTAAAAATTCTCTGGAAGCGTGTAGGATACACAACGTGACCTAAACCCTAACCCTATAGTACATAACAATTTTATACCACATTTTACTACTTTATTATGTGTAAATGCATATCAATTAATAAACATATCTTATTGAATATTATCTAGCTGCATATATCATTTATCACGTCATCTGATATAATTAGAATGTGATCACCCTTTGAATCGAAGGCCTTATTAAGGCTAATATTTGAACTTGGAGTATACATATCAACTTGATGTTGTTCCACCGGAACTAGGGTTCTTTAGATATAAACTTATGCAACACTTATTTTCTTGACAAAAACCTATCTCATTTTAAACATCCAAATAAAACTCAAATTTGAAGTAGACTGCCATGTAAACAAATAAATACCTATTATTTTCAAACTATTTACAATTGTGCCACAACACTCTAATTATGTTAATGAATTTAATTATTCATCATAATTGTGAGAAATAAGTGCCTTATTATTATGGAATTATCTACTTTATACTTCTCTTACCATCATATGTTTAATTTCTTTTATTTGTTTGACAATCATTGTAGGTAAATTATTTTGCATGTATGTATTAGACACATTTTGTTAAAATTATATATATGCGTACAAATAATTTATCTATATTTTTATGTAAAATAATATGTAATTAATTAATTTGAATCAATTGGCTAAAAACATTTATTTATTTTGTAGGTAAATTATTTCTCATGTGATATTACATATATAATAGCCACATTTTGTTATTATTATATAGAGTGTGCAATCAATCGACACTCTTTTATTTTGTAGGTAAATTATTTTGCATGTAGGTAAATTGTTTTATATATATATAATTTTGCAAAATATTGGTATTTAATTATTTTTGAATAAAAAATATTTATTTATTTTGTAGGTAAATTATTTTGCATGGATCATTACATAATTTACTAGGAACTTATATTGTTATATATGTTGTGCAAAATAATTTACCTAAGTTACATTTAAAATATTGATAATTTTGAATAAAATAGCTTTTTTATATTGTAGGATATACTAATTTACCTGTTAGCATCATGTGAAAACAACTATACAAGGAACATTGGTATCATGTAAAATTTTGCTATTAAATACATAGGAATTATGACATTTAAATTTTTTTCCAAGTCCCCATAAGGTATTTGAACATTTAATTGAATGAAATAATGTAAAATAAATGTAGATAATAAGTGAGAGACACAAAGTAAGTGTTATTAGGGGTAATTTAGACATCCAAAAATACAAATTTTGCCAAGTCAAACTTAATTATGGATATTGCTTAGTTGGAGCCTAGTCATTGGGTTTTTGTTAGAAAAAATTATCATGATGGGTTTTAATTAAAGAAAATTGAATTTCAACGGGTGTACTCATATTTTCAGTTAAAAACAATACAGAGGATTAAGTGATATTAACTTTTTGAAGTAGGAAGATGTGGAATGTGAAACGTCAATCCTCATATCAGAATGTAAAACATACACAAATTCTAACCACGTCTCGTGTATATGAAACTACCAAGGCCAACCCTAGCAAAAAGTTTCGGGTTTAGTTGCACCCGTCCAGCTAGCCTATGGATTGCATAAAAACAAATCTCGGTGAAAAGATGAATTAGCACACCAGCTATTTTAGTGTATTTATATATATATATATATATATATGTATGCCCTAGCGGTCCCCAGGCCGATCGGAAAAATTTCCAGGGCTTAAGAGCGACATTGAACACAAGCATGTGAGGTATGATGATGACATATTTATATATACACTTCATGAGTGTGCAGTGACGTTCTAAATTCCATACAACCGACTCCACTTAGTGAGATAAAGTTTGATTGTTATTGTTGTTTGTATATAAGCACACACGTAGCTCGTGGGCTGAGTTAATGCAAACAAGTCGGCCGTCATATGCATTGTCGCAGAGAGAAGCCAATTATTATTTAACATTAAGAAGCATGCTTGCTGGCAATAATCTGGATTTATATCAAATACAGCGTTCTAAAATAGATGTTTGATCGCATTGACATTACTTGACTTTTAATCTGAACCGACTGAGGAATGGATCCGGTAGGCATGTCATGTCACCTTCCTTCTGGTTGCTATAGCCATTTGATGTTGAATGAAGCGTATTGCAGGCGACATATGTATTGTGGCAATTTGATCATGTTTAGTTGAGCAAGAATAGAATTTGAGAGATAATATGAAGCGTATTGCAGGCGACATATGTATTGTGGCAATTTGATCATGTTTAGTTGAGCAAGAACAGAATTTGAGAGATAATATGCACCCTCTTTTTAGCCTCTTACACATCTATTTTTAATTTGGGCCGTTGATTTCATTTGATTTATTCATTCCGATTGCCGAAATAAAGACGGGTGTGTGAGAAGCTAAAAAGAGTGGGAAAATTACTCTTTGCAATACAAGAATTTACTTTTTTATACACAAAATTTTATATATTACAGGAGATACAACAATTCTAAGTTATAATAAAGAAGAAGAAAAATTAAACCTAAAACACAGTAGATTAGAAAAAAATTATTATCTACTGAGGCAATGCACCACTTGCTACAATATAGTTAGAAAAATGGGAGACTTTTAATGCAGTCTCTAGCTATCAATGTTCATTGACTGAAACTTGGTTGGCTTTTAGTTTTTGATCGAAGTCTTT